GATTTGAACCCACGACCTCTAGAGGGACTAGGTCGAACCATTAGGCTACCACGGCTTCTACACATAAATAAACGCTATCTATTCAGTTTTAGTACCTAACCGAATTATAAAATCAAACATGCAGATACGTAGCAAAGGTAGGTACTATTTGTGTTGTTAACTTGTACATATGATTTAATGTACTACTCAATAGGCGAGAAAATCAATAGATTGCGGTATTGATTTTCATTGAATATCCTGATATTTTTACTACAATGACATTCATATATTTTATTTGTGAAAATACACCACTAGTTATTATTATTATTGATACCAACTAAGTACTACAGTCTGAATCCACAGATCTTACGGTTTTTTCTATGTGCTAGCACGGCCTGTTCTCAGTTGGTAAAAACGGTGGCCTATGTAAGCAACAACGCTGATTCAAGTTCAGTCAAATCGAAAGAATTTTCTTTGTGTAAATCGATCTTTGTATCAATAATAAAATCAAACAATGTTAAATTATTAATAGTTATTTGTTATGCAAGGTCGCAAAGTTGTTGTTTGACGCTAGTGCTTGTATTGAAACCTGAGCAAGCGAAGGAAGCTAAGATTCAAAAATAGATTCCTGAGCGTAGCAAGGGTTTCAAGGCACAAGACGCAAAACAACTTTGCTGCCGAGCGAAACACACAACTTTTCACCTCACTATAACGAAGAAAATGATACATGAAAGAAAATACAGTTGAACTATAACAAAATAATTTAATAAACAAAATTTTTTTAAATAAGTTATAGTTGTCAATCTAATGTCAACATTAATAAGAATAAAATATGGCAACGGATTTATATTACATATATATATAATGCATGATAAATCGCGTAGTAGAACGTGTCATTAGTTTTTTTTTATCGAAAGAAAAAGTTAGGTGCACCACTGTCCATCGTCAAGTTCGAATTTCAAAAACCTTCACACTCACTAGTCCACACTAGCAAAAACGCTTTTGCGCCCAGATATCTAATGAGAAAGAAAGCCTCTCCGAGGTAGTGAGGTGAAAAAGTTCTTTTTCTGCCAATAAAATTTTAGTATTTTTTCAGTATACGTATTTTTAAGCTAATTTCAGATTTCCGTCATACCATGAGTCATATTCTAAAAGTATTAAACAAATAAATCGATGGATTCATAAATACGGTGTCAATTTAGTGTTGGCGGGGTAACATAATGAGAGAACAGAGAGCAGAGCGGCGTCGGCGCGGCCATGACTTGCTTATTCGGGAGCCGTTCACACGTCGCTATAACATTTTGGAATTGGTAGCCATAGAAACTCCTTAGATGAAGCAAAGGTAATGAAAATGATGTTCACGATAGTCGACCTTATTCAACATTTATTAAGTACGATGATCTTCCCCGTAGGCTGCTCCAAATAAGGAAAAGCGGAAGTACTTATCGAGGAATTAAGGCACCCACTTAAGTTTTAGAAGCGTCAAAGTACCTTGTAACGAAGTGTTCACACTCATCGTTTCGTTTTTTTTATTATTTTTCTATATTGAATGATGAATGGTGCACCACAAACAGATATATACCATACGGTATTAAGTGTTTGTATAGTATTGTGTTTATGGTTGATTTTATTTCATACATCATTTTCAAATAAATTCAAACGAGTAAAATCAATGTCAAATTTTATCAAAATCAAAATTTGGTAATCTGTAATCAACATTAGATAGAATCGGACTCTTAATTTCATGTGGCTTAAACTTTCAAAATTAAATACATATTTATTTTTACCGAAAAGATATGATTGACTGATTTATTGATAATAAAAAATATATAATTGTGAAAAATAACGTACTCAGATTGCTTTTATTTTATTACACAAAATAAAATTATTTGAAGTTTTTTTTTTATGATACCTAGTAACGGGACGAAGAAAACACGTCTATCCATAACAGTTGCAGTGGCACTCAGATCTAGAAATCACAAAGATCACAGGGGCACTGTCACTGTGCCCGTCACCCTGAGACATGAGTTGACAATTAAGTATCCCTGTAATTTCACCAGCACCTACCCTTCAAAACCGGAACACAGTAGTGCACACATTACTGCTTCGCGGCAGAAATAGCTAAGATGGGATACTTCCCTGGACAAACACTTTCACAAAAAGATCTACTGCTACTAAAATTATTTACCAGTCACATTATTTCGTATGTACGCGAAAACATATAAGTAGCTATTTCAACATAGTGATTCAGTCTGTTTTGTATATGATTACTTGTTAAAAACACATTGATCTAGATTCGACATACACATTGAAACTACTCGTCGTTACTATAATGTAAAGCAAATGATCAAATTTTAATTGTTTGTAGATAACAATTGCTAATTAACTACGTAATAAAAATCTTGTCTATGCAATTATGGTTACTTATAATGAATGGCCTAAATAGCAAATGGTTGGAGCTGCAATTAAGACCAATTACTTCTGTTACAAAGTATAATATATTTTTTAAGGTAAACCAACAATTATCGGACACAAAAGCGTGTAATGCTAGTTTAAGATAAAAATTACTGTGTCCAAATGTAGACACGGTAGAAAAACAGAAAGGAGAAAATGGCCGCAGACAAAAACCATTACATTCTTCAATTAACTCCGATTTCACACCCTTTCACGAACCGAAAAATCAAAGGCCAAACATTAGTTTAGAGAAATTATAGAAAATCAACAAAAACCAGAGCAAAAAGATGCGACGATTGAAAAACGGCAGACGGGGCGGGCACAGCACCGTGTGCGGCGCCGGAACGCTCCCGCACCCGGGCATTGAGCACTTTGAATATTTGATATTTGTAATGCTGTCAAGTTGAAAACTACCTATCAGCTTAAAAAAAATACTGCAGAGACTACAGAATACGTAGGTACGAAAAAGTTGGTATAAACCTATAATTTAAAAAAATCCCTGTCATTTATCTACTCATAAACCAACAGTCCTTAGCTAGGAACCTATTGCGCCTACAATTTTTTTACCCAATTTTGATTGTAGAGGTGTATAATTACATATAGCTTTATTTATATATAGCTATATTTCCTAAGTTATACATCGTGTTTAATTAAAACACGTACAAACAATCAATCTACAAATAGTCATCATGTTTCACTTGATTAAAAACTCCATGGAATCAATAGTAAATTAATGTAGTTTGTTTTTAGCTACCGCAGTTTTTGTGGCGGCGGCGGCCGGCCCTAATTACTCGCGTTTGTTTTTGATATTGCCGACCGGACGCTCGGACACAAAATGCTTTATGCCGTTTGATATTATTTTGAAACGTATAGATTGCATAGATTTGCTGGTTTGAAATGCTCATTGTTACCAAAATGTTTGAATAGTTTATTTAATAAATGAAAGTAATCCCGTAACCGTCCGTCATAATGGTTCCCCACCATTACTTATATTTTAAAGAAATAAAATATTGTTTAGTATTAAATTTTACTTTACATTTTGCCTTTTTAAGAACTGCAAGTGAAATTGCCAACATAAAATACATTTTAAAACGGATGGATTGCCCACATACTCTGTATGAAATGCCCATTGTTACCAAAATGTTCGTTTGGTTTATTAACCGTTTGTTCTTTTTAAGAAATAGGTTAAATTTGAATTTGCGAGTTTATACTGAAAGATAGTAAAAGTTTATGTACGATGACGTAAATGTATACTACAACTGACCAAAATTATTTAAAATTATAATTATTACTTTTGCAATAATAAATAAAACCTTAATTTTATGATTTTATAATGTAAAATACAAAGTAAATAAATAACAAGGAAAAAAACGGCAAAAAGTAAATTACGACATTTTTCGCCCCTAAAAATATCTATTTTTCTTGCTGTGACTTATAAAAAATAATCACAAAACTGTAAAGGTTTATCGTCGCTGTTCCGCATAATAACTTATATTTAAAATTAAAAAAAAAATTATCGATACTCTTCATCATTCACCATCTTAGTCAGCTTTAGCCATGAGACCTGCAAAGAACCCTAAGTGTTGGTTTGTTCGAAAAAAGAAATATACGCGATTTAAGTATCTTTTCCAATAAATAAAATATTCTTTATTTAGCTATAGTTTGTTCCTGAAAAACTGCAAGAATAATTCTAAAAATGTTACTATACTTAAATACACTTGAAGCAGGTGTACAATCGAAATTTATTCTGATACCTAATTATTGAGTATTTTATTTTCCCACAGTTGGGGTCTAAGTTCTTTAAAAGACAATAGATTACAAGATACATGTGTCCGCCAGTAGCAGAGACGCTGACTCAGCATTGCTTTGAGACGCCGCCGATCTCACAGGCGCCTCTCAAACTAATAGAGATGAGTGTCAATGTAAAAGTGACAGTGGATAGTGGTTAGAGTATGGGTAATTTAGTAACAGCGATTCTGGTAAATGGATACGAAAGATAAACTATGTAAATCAGAAAGCTTTAGAAATACCATAGTATAATAAGACAAGATGGTAACTCCATACAAACGTAACAGAGTATGTGTGCGTCCGCCGCGTACTGTGGACGCACACATTCGTATAATCTCGCAATGCTTAGCGCTTCATCTTACGCGCCATTTATTATTATACGAATGTGTGCATCTATACAAAGCGAGTAGCGGATTATGGAGTTACCATACTTGTCTTATTCTTGTTATACTAAGATAATACTATTACATTTATTACTGTGTATATAACTAATTTTCAAAAAGGCGAGATTAAAGACGACTATATCTTATAACTTATACCAATCCTAAAACGTTTTGATAATTGTTTTTTTAAGTCCATCTATCGTGCTGCTACTGTCAGTAATACGTGTAACAGTGCTAGAATTGTTTACATAAATAATTTGGGAAATCACAGTACGTCGTAGGTAGAAATAAAGTTTCTTTTCTTTGAAAGTCTACAAGAAAACTCTTATTCATTAATGCGGTCACAGTATGAACTCGAAAGGGAATATTATAAATTTAATTAAAGCACTAACTCACCTTCGATTCTGGTACCACGTTTTGACCTGCGTGTCTGTAAGTCCTAGCTTCGCGGCAAGCTCCATCCTGTCTTGGACGCTGAGGTACTTCTGCCGCTCGAATGACTTCTCAAGAGTCTGCAGTTGGTGGTCTGTGAAAGCAGTTCTTGCCTTTCGCTGTTTCTTGGCGAGCGCTGAAGCATCACCGCCGCAACTCTTGCTTGATACATCATCTGAATCATCTTTTACACCTGTAATAAAAAGTGTAGTTTAAAATAAATATAGCTAAGTCATTATACTTCAAAAAACCATTGAATAATATAAATGTTTATATGATCCGACAATATATTCAACGAATAAAAATAAGTAAATGTGAACATAAATCATTTCTACTATACACCTAAAAAAGAAGTTTCCATATGTAAATCTGACATTTTATTAACTGAATTACTGAGTGAATATACCTTGTTACAACGCCATTGGAAGACTTTTAAGTGAAACACAGAGAGAGCGAATGCGGGTCGGTCGGAACACAGATTCCGTGTATTTATATGGACGACTCATACCGCTCGGTGTCTTTAACGCATTGTGTTTTCATCCACCATTAATAAAAGTTTTGAAGGTTATATATTTTTTTACTAAGATGATTCACCGTGCGTCTTGGGGACGCGTGACGTTAAACCGGTCTAATTTATTTGTATATTGTTCTACATCCTCGATTTCTCGGGATCGTGTCCCTGAAGATACGAAGCCTTAGCAAAGCTTTCTGCGGTCAACACCCGATCGAACTGCACTTCCTTCGTTACTTCGACATTACTTACCTTTCTATTTCGAACCCCCCTTATTAAAACTTAAAATTTAATACAGTTGTATTAAATTTATTAAACAAAATATTTCGGTCTTTATTAAATATTTATTTAAAATTAAAGTACTCCTTTATCAAAAAATATAGAAGGTAATAGATTACCTAAACCCTTAATTTGTTGATGACCAATAAATTTCTACTAAGACAGAATTTAATACACCATTCCAAGACTTTGTCTGTACCGAGTCTAATAAAATTAAATATGAAAATATGTTTGTGTTAGAGGCGGTGACAACCCTAATATATTGACCAACGTGCACAGAATTATGTAACTGTTAAGTAATCGATACGCGTTAAGGATCTGTAAATCATTGTATGAGCATTGGTTTGTAACGTGGAACCTTTGCGTGGACTATCGTACAATGAGTCACTTTTTTAAAATATACCTTAGAATGTTACGTATACACATGATATTTTGGTACAATCTTCAAAACGAGATTTGTGGCATATATGTATATGTGTGGCGTGCCATTCAATATTTATGACATTGTTCTGAATATATATAGTTTCAAGTATCATAATAATACATCCACATTTCTTATGTACAAAAGTCGACAGAAACGTTTAAAATTACCTATAATCGAAAACAATATAAAACATTATTTTATAATTCTACGGAGTACGAGATATAGCTATTGAATACGCACGCTGAGAATTAAGGGTATAACGCGTGAAGAATTAGCGCAGTCGAGCAGAGGAGCGTGGTTGCGGTTTGCCACCCGCGTATGTTGACCATAGCTTCGACAAATACCTCATCAAAGGTTCTCGAGTAGCTGAAGTAAGCTGATTATTTATTTTACTTTCATTTTGTCGATGATACTTAAGAAAACATTTAAGTAAATGAAACAATTTTCGGATCCAAATTTGCGTATATTTGTTTATCGAAATTAAACAACGTATCGGGCCCTTTACAAGTAACGGCTGGTTGACTCGGTTGAGTTTCATTTCCTATGTAGGTATAACAATCGTGAAAACCTAAATACTCGATAAATATTAAAGTGGTACAAATCAAGTTGTATACAAGCTGACATGCACAAAACAAGTATAGTTTTATCAGTAGCAGTTCTTTATGAAAGGTTCGTCCAGGGAAGTACTGCCAAGATTACTATTTCTGCCGCCAAGAAGTAACGTCAGCATTCCTATGTTTCGGTTTTGAAGGGTAAGGGTGCTGGTGAAATTACAGGCACGTGGGACTTTTCAACTTATGTCTCAGTGTAACGGGCGCAATGGCAGTGCACCTCAGATCGTTGCGATTTAAAGCTCTGAGTGGCACTGCAACTGTTACGGATAGGCGTGTAGTTTACCATCAGGCGCACGACTTGTTCATCCCGTCACTTGATATTGTAAAAAAAAATTTTACTGTGTCCGGTCAAACATTAGGTATATAAATACTGAAGGTATATCATACATTCACTCACATGCACTTTGACGGATTAAACCAGGTGTAACATGTTTTGTTTTCAATAATACATGGACGTGGACACATGGATTTCAAATGCCAGTCAGTAATTTAAATCAAAATTCCGGACCCGTCATTGAAGTAGCTTTATTTGCATAGGTACTCGTATTTATTAATTATCAATGCTTTTGTCACTAAAAAAATCAGACAAAGTTTACCTTAACAATCCACATCTGGCGATTTTTTGACGACCCTTTAGCAGTTTGTAATATTCGATGTAATTACGAGGGCCCATTAGAGCACGCCACCGTTAATTTATTATAATAAGGTCCAACTGCCGAGTGCGTTCAGTCGACCGTGAAAATTATTATCATTAGTGGACAATAATGTACTTACAACAGAGTATACAAACGTCTCTAGAGAAACACGGTATGGTTTTTACAGTACAGTTCATCGAATTCGTAAATCAGGAAGCCGGGAGATGCGAGTGACCGCAAAATGGATCGATTACCCTACAGATGAATGGGATGATTCGATATGCTATCGAGTCGCTGCCTTCTGCTTTAATCTTTACTGTTGTGTGTGTTTCTGAGAAATTCGGTTACTTATATATTTTTTAAATATTCATGAATGCATCACAAATTATATATACATAGTTATATAGCAGCAGTAGAGTTCCTTGTGAAAGAGTTCATCCAGGGAATTACTGCCACATTACCTATTTTTGCCACCAAGCAAGTAATGTGAATATTATTTCTTTCCGGTTTTGAAGGGTAAGGGTGTTGGTGAAATTACAGGCATACGGAACTTGTCAACATATGTCTCTGGGTGACGGGCGCAGTGGCAGTGCCACTCAGATCTTTGCGATTTAAGGTTCTGAATGGCACTGCAAATGCTATGGACAGGCGTGTTGCTTACCACCAGGCGCACGACTAGTTCATCCCGTCACTTGATATCATAAAAAGAAATACTCACTGTACAATATGGTATTTTTATTTTTCTATTTTCACTCAAATTGTAATTGAATGTCACCAGAAAAATATTGTTGAAATTATCCCGTGTACTAGGCGACATATCTGTTGCGTAAACTGTCAAACCCCAAGCACCGCGCAGGTACCTCAAGAACCGACTCAGTTAGGCGGTAGGCCATTTAACAAAAAATAAATTAATAAATATCAAGGAAGTAAAACGTAAATAATAAAAAATTAATATTAAATAATTAATTGACGATATGTAAAAAGCAAATTTATAAACAAATTTTGATACACGATCGCTAGACTAACAAAATATAGTAAACTAGCTTTTTAAAACAAAGACTTTATGCGACTATATGACAAGAAATTATATGATTCCTAAGTTCGAAACCAGTATCGTTTTCGAATAATTTATTAGAAAACCGATTGCATTATGGTTGCAAAACGCACGATCACCGACTCGGGCGCATTCGTTGCGCTGCGCCAGCGCATTTTACGATGCCGTTTTATGATCCGTGAATTTGCAACTCTAACAATCGATAAAACGTTTTCCAATTGGACGAATTAGGTGGTTAGTTCGTAAGAACATTCTCTCTTTCAAATTGAAATTATGGTTTATAACATTAAAAATGTTTTAATATCACTGTATTATGAAGTTACTTTCAGGATTGTTAAACATTTTGCTATTGATGCCATTTTCTATTTATATTGTGTTTTAATTTCTTTAAACACCAATGCCTAAATCGATAAAATAATTAACCTGCAATCTGTCGCCGCTTGTTTATCCCACGTTAATTGGACTTTCATTAACTTATATCCTAAATTAAATATCTTAAATCCTATGAAGATTTAAAAAATTATAAACCCAATTCCCTAAATTAAAAATACACAGAATGGACTAGACCTCGTAGCACCGGTTTGGCGTAAAGTCGCTGGTTCACTCGAACGTCAAGTCGGATTGAAGAAATTGTTCTTTGTCTTTATTCGATCTTTGTATCAATAATAACACTTAATTGATATCAATCTGCTATTAGCTTTACGATCAGACAATATATTTACGTTGATAAAAATAAGTTGATAAAAAAATAATATATCAATTATCACGTTTCATAGAGGAAATAGCCTAACATTAGCTGAATACGATTGTTTTTTGTTAATGTAAATAACAGATTATCAATTTGTACTGTATATCAATGTGCATAAGACTGGCTAAATGACCTTTATAAGTTGTAAATAATCGTCGATTTGACCCGTGTACAGAATGTAAATAAGTCGGTGTAGGTTGCTGCTAATGCGTTTATAATTGAAAATTATTGTTGGCCTCGCCACTGTCTCTTTTGTATAAAGCATGTACGTATATCCATTATGGATACAGACATATAATTTGTCGTTTTATTTAGAAAATTAGGTACTTTGTAATGTACATATATTTCAATTATACGCTCTGGGTAATGTAAATTTTTATTATCCAACGTGTACTTCTACATCTGTATATGCCTTTGTATAGATATCGTATATCGTAACGTCGAGTGTCCTCGAAATATGAAAATACATAAAACAGAAATTGCAAGAACAAACGACACAAATGAAATAAAGCATGACATAATCTCTGTACAGAGTACTAAAAAAACAGACCTCAAAAGTACGTTGAATTGCATATAATTACCAAGTTTTATTGAAATCGGTTACCGGAAAGTGCGTAAACCAAGATTCATCCCCTAGTTCGCCACTATACGGGACTTGACACAAGAGATAATAAAAATCGGTTTTCACTACTCAGAGTATATTGAGAGAAAAACGCCTTGAATTGAAGAGTAGCAAAATCAACCATTAAAATAATTGCTCCTTATAATAAAATTTAGGCGCTATCTAACAAAATGAATCTTCATGCGTGAGCAACCACCCTTAGAGGTGGATGATTTTCTTCAAAATTAAATAGGATCACTATGGAGTACCCTCTTTCCAATGAATCATGAAAATCGGTTTACAAATACCGGAGTTATCGCGTAACAT